CCACCTGGCACCCTCATCCCAGCCATTGTTTTCTGAAAAAAAATCCACTTCTTGGCTGGCTGTCAGTAAAACAACAACTTTATGTGGAAACACAGCCTCTCTGTATCTCTGGACCTCCTTGGGCTGCTGGGAAGGTGCTCTCCATTTCCATATGTGGAAGCAGCCAGAGTACAGCCCATTTGCTCCATTATGTTACAGCCCAGGAAAGCCCAGCTCTGGCTTTCTCCTGCCCCTGCAGTGCTGGCTGATGAGTTTGGACCTCAGATGGGACCAGGTGTTCTATTATATGATTTTTAGGGGGGAAAAAAACATTTTCTTTGAGCCTTCAGGACAGCTCTCAGTTGCCAGCAGCTGGTTTGGCACTTGTGAGGGCCCTGTGAGGCAACTCATTCCATCAGAGCAGCTCATCCCACGGTGAGCAGTGCTTGTGGATGCCAGGGTTGGCTGCAGTGTGCCAGTTGATGTGAGGACCAACACTGCAGCCCCTAGACAGCCCAGGATGTGGCTGTGTGGGTAGAACCAGGGCTGGCACAGTGCAGCAGAAGGAAGGGGCAGAGGAGGCAGTGCGAGCACATTTTTTCCTGTGAGGGTGACGAGATACTGGCACAGGTTGCCCAGGGAAGTTGTGGCTGCCCCCACCCCGGCAGTGTTCAAAGCCTTGAGCAACCTGATCCGGTGGGAGTTGTCCTTGCCCAGGGCAGGGGGCTGGGATTATATGATCTCTGAGGTCCATTCCAACCCTTTTACATGCTAGGAAACTATGAAAAGAGCAGTTGTAGGATGACTAAGGGGAAGCAGATGGAGGAATTGGGGTGAAACACCACATCCGCAGCACGAGAAGCCAAACAGCACGGATGCAGGAGAGAGAGCTGCTTAGACAGCAGTCCTTTGGAGGAAGATGTGGGTCTGCTGGCAGCCTGGGCGTCACTGACATAGCTGTGGCAGAAAATGATGAGCTGGTTTGGGTCACACAGTGGAAGGCTCCAAGGGACATGCAGGGCCCCTGGCATCTGCTGTGTCTCCCTGGTGCCCCAGGCCCTGGCACAGCCACCCCACTGCCCAGGAGTGTCTGTCCCTTGCAGAGGTGGAGTGTGTCTTCTTCAACGAAGAGTACATGACCTGCATGTGGGGGAACACAGAGGTGCTCACAGTCAACTACTCCCTCTATTACTGGTAGGTGTCCCTTTGCCAGCCCTGCAGCAGGGCGTCCAGCGGTGGGTCCCTGTGTGTGGGACTGCTGCCAGCATTGCTGGTCCAGCATCAGGCTGCACCTCTTCCCTGAGCCCAGGGTGGGACAAGGCTCTGTCTCCAGGGCAAGCAGGATGAGATGTGCTGGGGAGAGGGTTCGGGGAGGGGGGCTGGGGGAGCCCTGGTAACCCACTGCTGCACAGGTATGAGAACAGGTCCCCCATGGTGGAGTGCAAGCACTACCTGCAGGACCAGGGCATCAATGTCGGCTGCCACTTCAGCAAGAATGAGAGCATCCAGTTCCAGCCTTTCCGTGTCCTCCTCAACGCCAGCCTCGACGATGGGACCCTGGAGTTCCCCAGCAAGCGCTTGGAGCTGCAAGACCTGGGTACAGAGTGGTGGAGGCACCTTCTTTCCTCTGCAGGGCTGGGGGTCCCCAGGGGTGCCCGATCAGGTCCCACCTGGCAGCATGGAAGCCACTGGGGCATGGGGCCTGCACTCACTGGGCATCCCCTGTGTCTTGCAGTGAAACCAGAGGCGCCTGTCAACCTCACCATCCGCAACATGAGCAACAATCAGCTGCAGCTGACCTGGGCCTCCCCCTACCCTAAAGCCAAGTGCCTGGAGCACTCAGTCAAGTACAAGAGCAACAAGGACACCGACTGGACGGTGAGAGACCCTGGGTATGGCACTGCTGTGGCTGTGCCTAGGGATGAGCCATGCACCAGCCTCCACGGCAGTCCCAGCCCACAATGCATGGCTCATGTCTCTGCAGGAGCTCCCGGTACATGGAAATGTCTTCTCCTTGCCCAGTGTGGACTATGAGAAGTACTACACCTTCTATGTGCGCAGCAAGATCAACAAATTCTGCGGCAGCACCCTCCTCTGGAGTGAGTGGAGTGTTCCCATGGTCTGGGGCAGCAACTCCACTGAAAATGGTAGGTCTTGGGGGCTGCAGTGGGGTGGGATGGGCTGGAGCATGGCAGGCGAGAGATGGCCAAGCAAGTAGAGAACTGGCCCATGACAGCAGCTGTAGGGGCAAGACGTGTCTGGGCACCAAGGGTGCAGGCAGCAGCATCCCCCCTGTGTCCTTTGTACCTCTGGAGGCCAAGCACACCCCACCAGAGTGACCTGCTGACTTTTGCCAGGGGTTTCTTAGCACTGGAGGGCTGTCCTGGCACGGCTGGGCCAGGACAGGGTACTAGCCCGTTACGGTGATGGGCTTGGGGATAGGCTCCTTCTTTGTCCTCTGCTCCCAGCTGAGCCCTGCCATGAATGATGCCATGGCCACCCACGAAGGGCCACTGGCAGGCTCACCCCACTGCATGGTGTTGTGCTGTCTTGGAGTCAGTGTCACCCTGGGTCTTTCCAGGCACAGTGGAGGAACAGCTTCACTGGTTCTGGATTCACACAGTCGTGATTCCTATTGCCTCCTCCTTGATCTTGCTGGTCTTTGTTGTCCTACTGGTGCGCATGGAAAGGTGAGTGTGGGGGCCTGATGGTGGGCAGCAATGCTGGGGATCCTCCCCTCTGACACAACTCTCCTGCGCAGGGTGTGGGTCATCCTAATGCCCCGAATTCCCAACCCCAGCAAGAACTTCGACGAGCTCTTCATCACCCACAATGGCAACTTCCAGGTAAGGCAGCTGAAGGCAGCCCTGCCCTGGCCCCACCACCTGCCCTGTGGGGTTGGAGCTGCCCTGAGTGGTGGCTCCTCTCACCCTGCTCTGCTCCCTGCAGGAATGGGCTGGAGTCCCCAAAGATGTCATGGAGAGCTTCAAACCAAACTACAGTGAGAATATCTGCTATGTGAGTGAGCTGCCACCCAAGGACAGCAATGAGCCCCTCTGGGAAAGCAGCAACCACTCACCCCCTGCAATGCCTGGCCCCCCCCCAGCTGCTCCCAGCGAGCAGTACAACCCCTACAAGAACAGCTATGGGAGAGTGTGACACACTCCTGCACCCCACATGCTCCACAGTTTCACGGCCCAAAACCTTACTGCTCTGCAAGCCTTACTCCCCATTCCTACCATGCCTCCTCCAAACGCTTGGGACTCCTGGTCTTTCTTCCTGCCATAGTCACACTCGGCCCCCTGTGACACAGCAGCTGCACTGCACTGCAGATGCTGGGTGAGCGCAGTGTGCTGGGTGCCCTGGGTGCTGCCCTGGGTGCACTGGTGTGCTTGGCAAGTAGAACTTCTGTGTTTAGATAACATAGGCCTGTGATAGTCTTAGTGGCACCTTATTTAACATGCTTGAGATTACTTCCCTGCTGTGTGAAAGATAAAATCACAGTGATAGACTATGCACAAATCCCTGATAAACAGGCAGTAACAGCAGGTTCAGTGATCCTCTAGCATGGACCAAGCTCCTCAGTACCGGCGTCCCTGCTTCTGTGCCTCTGCCTGGGTGCTGCTTGGGGGATCCTCCAGCCAGTGAGGTAATGAAAATAAATTTTCTCTGTATTTCATCTCTGGCTTTGTGGTTGTTCATGTGTCCTGCCTATGCTGGCTAGGATAAAAAAAAAAAAAAGCCACTGTGTCATCCTGGGGCACTGGGCAAGCCTGGCATTCCCCCAAGGCTTTGCTGCTCCTTTGCCTGCACCCCAGGTTTCCTATGGCAGCAAAGCTCTGCCCTGCTGGGGGCTCATCCCATGGCATCTGGGGAAGTGCCAGCAGAAGCCCCAACTCCTGAACACCTCTGACCTCACACATGTCATGAGGCAGGGCCCAGCCCTACCGCCCCAGGCAGCCGCAGTGTGTTCATCGATCAACATCAAGTGTGGGGTGAGCTCCACCCTGGTGGCCCCACCCGTGGAGCAACGTGCTGTGGCCTCGCTGGGCAGTGGGCTCAGTTGCTGAGCTCTGCAGCCGCTGCAAGGGACACTGCTGCCCTCAGGCACTGCTGCTGTCTCTGCAGATGAGCAGAATCATAGAACCATCAAGGCTGGAAGACACTTTTCAGATCATCGAGTCCAACCATTAATCTGCCACTGATGTAACCCCTAAACCCTAAACCATATCTTCCAGCCCCAGATCCAGATGCCTCTTTAACATTTCCAGAGATGGTGACTCCACCACCTCCCTGGGCAACCTATTCCAGTGCCTGATCACCCTAACAGTGAAGAACTTTTTCTGATATCTAATCTGAATCTCCCCGTCTCAGTTTCTGCCCGTTCCCTCTAGCTCTGTCACTGCAGGCATGGCACGACAGACCATCCCCCACCTCGCTATAACCCCCTTTCAGGTAGTTGGAGAGAGTGTTGAGGCCAGTCTTGAGCCTCCTCAAGGGTAAACAAACCCAACTCCCTC